GCGTTCCTCATTAGGTCGGTAGTTGACCTCATCTGAGTCCGTGTCACCAATGTCAATTGGACGTCTTGTCGAGCTTTCGGAGCTTTTGAGATCGGCCCACTTTAGGGCTATGAATTTCAAGCCCACATGATTGCTGTGTGCAATCGTGTACTTCTCAGGCGTGGTGACTATGCCTCTTTCAGCCACATTGAGTTGGCCTTTTCATTGCCTCCAGCTTTCAGCGCAAGGTGCTCACGGGATCCTCGATACATCGCGCCAACTGTAATTTCCAGTTGGCCTTTGCCCTTCTTCTCCATCGAATCGAGGAGGTCTTTTTCTGCCCAGGGTGGAAAAGCCTGGTCAGCATTGGAAACTTCTCTGCCGATGTAGAAGGCCCCAAAGGTTGGTAAGTGACACCTCTGTGGGTTTCTGTGGAAGGACCAGTTTGCCGGTCTGATCTTGCCTTCCAAGAGTATCAGTTGTGAGGTGTGGATGGTTGTTCCATGACAGAGTGCCCAGGTGTGGCTTTGTTGACCACCAAGGGTGGTGGCATCTGGAACCTGCTGATTTCAGGTAAAGGCAGGACGAGTGCAAGCATGTTGGTTTGAGGAAGTTCCCGGACGTGGCAGGTGGAGAGATCGTAGTCTGGAAGAAGACCAGTACTGAAGAACAGTTGCACTGCCTTCTTGGCAATATCGCCAGGGATTCTCTGGTCCACCTGATGGAGCTGTTCCATGGCTGCATCGTAGTGTGCCTGTTCGATGGACATGGATGGTTGTGGACGCTCGTTAGCACCAAGTTCATTTGCTGCACGCATTCTGTCTGGGTGGTGCATGGCATGACGGACGTGACGAGCCCATTCATCTTTCGAGCCGTCTTGAAGGTTGATGGGAACATGTCCTGGAGGAACAGTGGTGGTAGAGCAACGAGATTGGACTGAGCCTGATCGACGTGGATGATTGCTGTGACGGTGTGAGTTGTAGTCAGAAGAAAATGCAGTAAGGGGTTTGGATGAAGATTTGGATGGAGGATCGGCGTGGGCAGGATGTTTGGAAGTGGGCGTGGAGTAGTCGATCCAGCCTGACGGGTGTGTGTAGTAGGAGGTCTTGGAATAGTCTTTCCATTGACCCCATGATTTCCACTTGGGCTTTGAAGGTTGGTCATATGACCGGTAGTTGGACTGGTAATCATCATTGTGGGACATCGGAGGTTGATCGTGATGTGGATGGTCATAAAAGGCAGGTTGGAGGGTAGCTGGTTGATGGTGTGGATCATCACGAGGGTAATCATCATCACGGCCATGTAGTGCTTCACGACGTTGTGGGGAAGCTGAACGTAGAGTGACTGAAGGAGCACGACTTTGAAGTCTTGATCGATCACGCGAAGTGGAATGTCTACGTCTGTGTGGTCGAGAGGAGCGACGTAGGCGACTGGGAGACCTGTCACGACGTGGACTTCGTGGGATAGAGATCGGACGTTTGTCCGGAACTGAATGATGCCGATGGGATCGTGAACGAGAGCGGCGATGGAAACGTGGAAGTGGTGGTAGATCAGGGACTGGAATTGGAGGATGACTTGGAATTGGTGGAGGTACTGGAGCTGGTGGTTGTTGAGCCTGTGGAGTAGGACTCTTCGGTCGTTCCTTGTTCTTGTCCACGAAAGCCTGCATGCCAGATTCGACGGTGTGTCTCATCTGTTGCATCATCTCCTCTGGATTGAAAGCGACGTTTGAACCAGGTTGAGTGGACGGAGGTGCCACTGGTGTTGGAGTCGGTGGATCAGGTGCTGGTGGCGTGGGCTGAGATTGCATTGCAGGGGAATTGGACTGATGATATGGAAGAAGTTGTTGGAGGTGTTGAATATGAGTCTGAGCTTGGGAGGCCAGTTGTTGATTCAAAATGGAGTTCTGTTCCCGTAACTGAGCCAATTGTGCCTGAGTCTGAGCTTGAGACTGAGCTTGTGACTGTTGGCTCATCATATCACCTCCACAAAATTGTCCAAAAGGTACGGCTGGCTGAGGTGACGGAAACGATGGGGCTGACCAGCCGTAGTTCCACATGTTCTCCGAAAAGTTTGGCCAGCGGCCAGGAAACATGGCAGCACTGTCAGACGGTTTAAATAAAACTTAGTTCAAACTGGATGCATCCACAACTCATGCACTATTCGTGATAAGGCTCAAAGGCTCTCGGTATTCAATTCAACCCCATCGACGGCTGTCAGTGTTCAAATGAATTAAGTGCACAAATTTCAACCTCACCAGAAACCATCAAAAGAAGAAGAACCACACCTAAAGCATGTCCTGCTGCCTGAAGTTTCATGTAAAAAGGCTGCGGCCAGTCTCTTGAGATAACAGAAGGACTGTTAGCGTGGCAGCAGGCTATGCGTTTCAGCAAAACAGAAAGGAGAAGCCAGGCACTGCGGCACACTGTTCAACACACTTGACGAACGACAGGGTGAAAAACGAAAAAAGGCCAGCGGTTCACTTTACTTAGACGAATTACTAATTCAAAAGTGTAAATTCAGACATCGTTTTACTGTCAAATGTTAGCCTAGAAAGGCTTTCCCCGAAGGGTTCCTGCCAACTTGACGTAAACAGCAGGAGAGACACACTTGCTCAGAAACATCTTTTCGAATTACTGATGTGGAATGCATCTCACGTGCATAAACAATCCAGTAAAACCTGACAGGCTAGATAAGGATGATTGGACACGAGAAAAATGCGAAGGAAATCTTTCTACGTCCTTGCTCGAAGGTTCTAAAGGTTCTGAAGCAGCTCTTTCAGATTGCGAAAACCGTGCAAAACGAGAAATTGGAAAACAGGGTAGTTGTTTGAAACGGCTTGGTGGTTCTTGGGTTAGCCACGTCCGATAGCAGAAAATTGACACGAAAATGAAATTTGAAGCAGGTACGTCAAAGGGACGTCTCCCTTTGATATCACTGTGACTTCTGGCCGTCTTCGTTGGCACAGGAACCAGAGTCACACCTGTGCCCCCTGCATTGTTTTGTAAATGTTAAAATTCCAAACAAAATTGAGATCACGAAAAGTAGAAGTTTTACATCTTTTCAGATGGTCCACACACACACACATTTTATATACATGTACAGTAATATCATCTATCCAGAAGCACAAACCATCACAAGCCTCTGCGCCTCCATCAGATTCCTGGGCCTTTCTAGAATGTTTTCTTGCCACCACCAAAGTCCATCTTGCAATGGGTCTCTAGATTAGGGCTCGTTGCGAAGTAGCAACGCCCCTGTATCCCAGCAGGACTGGTTCACCAGAGCCGCGGTGGAAAATACAGCAAGATTCAAGCATCCATTGAGCATCACTCCCATTGCAACAAAAATCATCTCCTAGCTGTCAAATGCCTGGTGTGATGCAAGAATCTCGATGAGACACCACGAATTAGAGCACTCAAACCCCGACAACTGGTGGTGATGGTGGTGGTGGTGGTGGGAGCTGCACGAAAATCAAATCGGGTCCGTCTGTGTACTTCACACTATCTTCAAATACTGTGTGTGTGGCTGTGCACATTTACACATACATCCATATTTGAGAGTGTACATACAATTGGGCCACATTAACTTGGGGTACCCACGCCGAACAATTAGTCACTTTGCATATTAAAATGTCCAATTTAGGTATCAATATGATTTTGAACCACAGCTACTTTTTAACTGACACAGGCTATGACCGCTAGGGCAACAAATTTCTTTGTTTCCAACACAATAGACACACCATATATGACAAACAAACCACACCTCTGGACCTTCATTTAAGGTCTACCGCATGAGTACAGCTGAGTTTGCCAGGAACGTGTGTGTGTGTGTATGTGTGTATGTGTGCGTGTGCGTGTCTGCAAGTGCTTCCTGCATCCATCGATTACACCACGTACAAGCAGCCATTAACCACCAGCATCTCGAGTGCTAGTCTAAAACCACGTGGTGTGCAATTTTGCAATGCCATGCATTTCGGGAAAATGGGTGTATCTGCAGGCTCCTTTCTCAATGCCACTCTCCAAACATGAAAACGTCCTTGAGTCCAACCGAGAAATTCTTCACTTGGTGAGGAGGAGCCCACAGGCTACGACGAACGTCTGCACTGGCACAGCTCAAAACTTGCTCTGTCACAAGCCGCTTGGAGAATTGCTGGAACATGCTGGAACCTCTTTGGAAAGGGTGACTGCATCAAGGAATTTTGGCAGCCAAGCCAAGTGGCAACTGAGCTAAGCTGAGAAGCATAGAATCTCGAGGTTCCCCAGCGGTGGGTTGACACCCCCCGGAATTCGCGTTGGTCCAGCTTTCCAAGACCAGCTGTGTTGCTCAAACTTCGCTACTATTTGGACTTTAGACCTAGATGTAAGCTGACATACGGGTCATAAATAATGCAAAAAATAGATGCATCCAATAGAATCGAATCTCATCTCGAATCTCTAAACAAAAGTACGGTTACCGTAGGTCAAGGTGTTTCCACATGCGCTTGCAATCAACTTCCCAGTCTCCAGCTTAAGCCCCATCATGCTGAACTTTTTGCCGGTCCTGCGCCCGATCAACAGGTCTGAAAGACCCCGTGCTGACACTTCCGAGGGGTCACTGTACTGGGAGCTTCACACCGCCACGGTGGAGCTGAGAATCATAAACCAACTGTCAGTGTCGATCCAGGTAAATCGTTCCCATCAAATCTGTAGGCACACGGGCAAGACACAGATGCTTCATATGCACCCAACAGACCTTTAGAAGAGTTGAAGCAGGCACGGATTAGCTCTTTCAACTAGATTGATAATACTTAAAATTCAAGATAATACGTCGAAGGGCCGTCAAAGGGGTCAGAAAAAGTACATAACTTTTACTCAAGCATTCTGTGGCCTGCAGAGAGCGTTGTTGAAGTGGTCGGACCGCTTTTGATAAGTGAGTCAGTCAGTGCAAATGAATCTTTGATCACATTCAGTCTGAAATTTGTGGTTAAGAAACCATTTGCAAACTTGCTTGACAACCAGGTAGAGAGAATGGCCCCCCTACCTCCCAGAGCGAGTAAGGGGGCGGACTCATTACAAGTTGCTCAAACTCTCAAAGGTCCCAATGCATTGCGGAAGAACTGATTTCAGGAGGTCCTGTTGTCCCCAGCGAATTCAATCGGAACTCTTCACCTGGTCTGGAACGCTTGGAAACACACGAGCGAACAACACCAGCCTGTCTAGCTGGCCGTGGTTTCCATCACAATTTTGCACGCATTTTGGCATGCTACACTTGGCCCAGCATGGAAGATGATGCCCACTTCAAGCATCTTTCTCTGGGTCCTTCACAAAATCAAGCAAAGAGCCAATGTCAATTCAGCCATGCCTCTCAAATAATTTGATCCCTTAAAACCCTGTAAATTAGAAGCACTGAAGCTATATCTGTGGAAACCAATTCTATCATTCTGCTTCCAACCACTATGCAATAACTAGACGACAGTGTGGCCCGAAAGAAGAGCAGGAGGGAGTAGATCAAAAGAGGATGGGACAATAATGAATGATTATGAAAGGTGATGAATGATGAATGAGGTTGTTGATGCATAAGAATGTAGAATGAGTGAGTGATAATGAAGTTGTCATATCAGATGTGTATCTGTATGTATCAATGCCGTCTATTCAGATGACTGGGACAACCCCAGTGAGGAGACGAGAAGAAAATACACAAGAAAATATAATTATGATTAATGATGGTGGTAATGTTGGAGGTGATGAATGTTGGTCACGATGAAGAGTTTTTACACACGTCACAGAAGCTTTTACACACAGAAACTTTTGCACAGAGAAGTCTTTACACAAAGGCTTTTTACACACAGAAGTTTTTACACAGAGAGAAGTCTTTACACAGAAGAGTTTTTCGAGAAGTCTTTAACACACAGAAGCTTTTACACAGAGAAGTCTTTACACAGCGGAGGTTCTACACACAGACAGACACGTTTACACACAGAAACAGAGGCTTTTACACAGAGAAGTTTCTACACAGATGAGCTTACATACACAGAAGCTTTTACACACAGAAGTTTTTACACAGAGAAGTTTTTACACACAGACGTGTTTAGACACAGAAGTTTTTAGACACAGAAGCTTTTACACACAGAAGCACACAGAGAAGCCTTGCCACAGACCAGCTTTGTGACGTTGCAAAATCGCTACTATTTTACCCAATTTTTTGCCGGTTGACCTTCATTTCGTGCGAAAGGGATGCATCTCAGATTTCAAAATCGAATTTTGACACCAGTTTTTGACGTTCAACCATTCAACCTTCATTTCGCGCGAAAAGGTTGCATCTGAAGGAAGCTTCAAAACCGCAATTTTACATCAGTTTTCGACGTGCGACCTTCATTTCGTGCGAAAGGGTTGCATCTGATCTTTCAAAATTCCAATTTTGCACCAGTTTTTCGACACTTCCGTTTGACGTTCTAAAATCACAACTTTTAATGTCGTGCGAAATGGCGATCGATGGACACGGCCGGGCTGCCCCCGCCGCCTAAAGAGAGAATTTAGAAGAGCTGGAGAAGAGGGAGTTTTGTAGGAGTTCAAATACAAGTAGATCACCTAGAAGTTAACTCCTGATAAATGAACTCCTGTGTAACAACTCCTGTTTAAGAACTTCTGTGTAAGAACTCCTGTGTAACAACTCCTGTGTAAGAACTCCTGCGTAATGACTCCTGTGTAAACAACATTGCAAGAGTTTTGTAGGAGATATGTAGACGTTGAGCACCTGTAGATTTTGTTGATGATGTAGATGACATATGTGATGTAGATGAAGTTGATTGATGTTGATGTAGACGATGTAGATTATGCATGTGATGTAGATGAAATTGATGTAGATTATGCATGTGATGTAGATGAAATTGATGTAGATGATGTATGTGATGTAGATGAAGTTGATGTAGTAGGTGATGTAAAAGATGTAGGAGTCTGTAGGAGATGTTATGTGAAGCGAAAAGTTGAATTTGGATGAATTTGGTACTTCTTGGGGAGGAGCTTTCGGGAAAAACGTCAGGTGATTTTGTCGCCACCCTGCCTTGGACTCCTTGGACTCCTTGGACTTGGGGCGGGTGTCATTCAGCGTGAGCTCTGACACTTCCTCAGTATCTGACCAGTGGCTATGCGTCCCGCACCATGGTGTCAAGATATGTGGGCTGTCTTGTAATAGGATAAGTCAACATTGGTATGTCAAGATAGTCAAGATATGTAAGGAAGGAAACGCATGTTCCTACAAATTACAACTGATTGTCGTAAGGTATTCCTTGCAATTTCGGCTTGCGCAGAGATCTTCACAGACGTGTGCTAATCCTAGATACTCAGAATCAAAATTCTGAGCTGCTCAACAAATATTTGCCCTACGTATGACTTTACCCAGAGCGGATGCCAACAAATCCAGTCAGGTCATCCATCGCACTCCGGGTGTGATGGTTGCCACATGTTGACAGATATTTCCATGAAGTCAGGTGACAGATATGTAAGGAATGCCCTTTGCGTAGCTGCCCATCAAACAGTTCACGATGGAGTACCTGGCGATTCGTACCAGGCAGAAATGGTGCCATATGACTATCAGCATACAGGAGCCACGAGCTTCTATGGCAAGAAGCTGTGTTCCCCATGAGCTGAAACCTGTAGGCCCCATGTGGCAAAAATTGATAAAAAAAATGGGCTCTGCTTGGCAGTTCCAAGCCGCTCTTCACTGCTTCAGTTTCGAGAATTACGTCCTACAGAGATCTACTAGGAGATGTAGGCCAAGCCACAGGGAGCAAGCGAGGACCGCAAGGAAGACGGCGCTGGAAGCCAAGATAGTTAGACCCGGGAGATCGATCTGCATCGTGAAGAAACAAATTGCAACTTGAGGACTCTGAGTTCCCAATCGCTCAGTGAAGCCTGTAGTGTTGCTAGCAAATGAAGGATGATGCAAAGAGGCCAGGCCTCATAGTAGTTCAAAGCAAATCTGGCCAACGTTCCCAGGATGATGGGGAAAAACAGCATGACATCCAGCTGAATGGCTTGCCTGGCCGCAGTGCTGTTAGAATCTCTTGACTCATTGACTCTGTGGCAGGTTCCTGGCTGTGTCATGTGCACAGTCACCTCATGTTGAAGCGGATCAAGGCAGGAGTTTCAGGATTGCCCGCAATTGCTTGCATGCCGAAGAACACGAGCAGAAAGCCTCACAGAGTTGCTAAAAGTTTGCCAGCCAAGAAAGGCTGAGGAAACTGACTATGTCTGCAGTAGAGTCACACACCTGAGCAGGCTCCAAGATTACACGTCTGTGCTCCCGGCCCAAGCCGAAGGGAACAGCGTTCAGCAAATACATTGGCACCTGAAGTCCATGCAATTCGCAACGTCTCGGAAATGCTACAGAGCCTGCGCCTGTTGCTTAGATCCCAGATGTTCATCTCAGATGCGGGGGTTCTTAGGCCCAGACGGTCAGCAACTGAAACAGGCCAGGGTTCACTGCGGCCAAAGGCCAACCAAAGCCTAGGTGGCCAGGAGGGCACTAGGCTCCGCCGAACTTTCGGAAAGGGCAAGCTTCAGCTGCTGAACAGGAAGTTAAGACTCGAAGTTCAACCAACTCATTTCTGCCGACTGCTTCAAGTACCATATTGTGCGCAAAGTGGTACCACGTACGAACCAGGACAACTTTGTTGGCAACGGAAGGGTTCAATCTGACGCCGCTTCCTCTGTGGATCCCAGCGCTCAGCTGCATCCAACAGTGGAAGAAGGTATGCCAATGCAGCAATCAGCCGAGTCTGCAAACTGTCATCCTTCCAAGCTCTGCAGAAAGCGACACGGCTTCAACTATGGCAAGCTCACTGCCGAAAATCGCATGCCAAAGCCGCAGGGAAAATCATCAAACAGCAGTCTGCCTCAATGCACCATCTTGGGATAGTTGGCTGGTATTTCTGAATTCTCGATCTCTCTTCTTGGTGTGCCCGTTGCGCTGCTCTCCTCGTTTCGCTCAGGCAGGGTTGCCAAGTACTCTTCCTTCTCTCGCTCCTTCTCCTCCTTGCCGCGAAAAAGAACACAGAGTCTGCAGATCCCTCAGTGTCGGTTCCAATGGTCGCGGATCTTTTTGTGTAACAGGATGGTATCATGACGTATACAGTATACACAAGATATATCAATATACCAGTAGTACCGCACAAGGCGGTGGCGGAAGTTTCAAAAATAGGAAACCTATAGGAGACATTGGCTGTTGTGAATCAGGGATGGCAGAGCGAATCCACTGATGGACCGAAAGGTGCTTGAGGTCTCCTCTCTTTCTC